AGCATTTCAGCATTATCATTTAATTCAACTCTGGAAATATAGAAATCTCAAGAAAAAAATGGCATTATTAAAATTATTGAAATACCAGAAAACTGTCCAAAACCACTTCCCTACAAGCACTATTAGTGTTCTTTTATGTATATTATGGATTCACTATGACTACACTCAAACAAAACATATAAATGTTTTAAGTATTCCATTACATCATGGATTCACAAAGTTGATAATAAAAGTTAAAAACACAAAATTAAAAAAAGTAATGTATATCACTCCTTGTGGGTGTAAAATAAACGATGAACAAACTATGTACAATTATTTGAAAGTAACAGGGTATGGTAATAGCCATATAATGACTATAGATTTATTTAATTTTAATTATTTAGTGAATCCGCTGTCTTCATTTAGTGTACCCAAAGAGTATATTCGCATACATGACATATCTTATGAGATGGAATTTAAAACAATAAGCATTGCCAACAGTTTAAATGACTTGGTACCAAAACACATTAAGTATATAACTGAACGCAAACCTACCCCCGGTGTTAATTTAAACTTAGACTCAAAAGTTTTAAGTGGTTGTGATTGTACTGATAATTGTGAAGACAAAACAAAATGTTCTTGTTGGCAACTTACTTATGAGAGTAAAAAAAATTATCCAAATATATTTAAAGACACTAGTATTGGCTACAATTTCAAACAACTATAATCTAGTATACACAGGTATTTTTGAATGTAATATCACTTGCAAATGTACAAAAACTTGTTTGAATCGTGTTGTTTAAGAACCACTGAAGACTTCACTGCAAGTATTTTTAACTGAAAATAAAGGCTGGGAAGTAAGAACACTTACTGATATTCCTAAAGGTACTTATGTTTGTACATATTTTGGGGAGGTTCACACAGAGAAAGATGCTGAACATGATTGCGCAATTAACGATGATGAATACCTGGTAGATTTGGATTTTCTCAAGACAGTCGAAGAGATCAAAGATGGATATGAAAGTTATGTAACTGAAGAAGAAAGTGAAATGTATACTAGTTCACCTGATGAAGAGTTTAATCCAAGTTGGGCAACCAAGAATAAAATGAATATGTATGAATCAAGAATGTCATTAAGGACAAATTTACAAAACACTAACACAAAAATTGATGGCAAACATCAATTGTCTGAGCTAAATATTCAACAAAGATTTGAAAGTAAACACAAATCCATGCAAGAGTACTTGTACAAAGACTGTAGTGTTTACACGTTAGATGCTAAATCAACAGGAACATAGGTCGTTATTTCAATCATTCCTATGACCCAAACATATTTATTTAGAATGTATTTATTGATACTCATGAAGTCATGACCTTAAATTTCCGTGGATAGCATATTTTGCGTAATCAAATATTCCAGCTGGAACTGAACTAGCATGGAATTATAATTATGTTGTAGGGAGTGTGCTAAACAAAAAACTAAAGTGCTACTGTGGGTCAAAAATTGCAAAGGCAGACTATTATAATTTTTATTTATATTTTTTTTATTAATTATTAATTTTTTTTTTATTTACAAGAGATCTAAAGATGTTATATTTATATTATATGAAAATGTTAATAAATTTCATTATGTTTTCTTAAATATTTTTCTGTCTTTATAAATTTATAAGTACAACAGATCACAATAATTGCTTATTATTATTTTTATACATATTTACAAGACATAAATATATGTTATTGAATTAAATGTGCTATGTCCTATACCTACTTAAAGAAATACCATTTTTAACTGATTGCCTTATTATTCCAACCACTCTCTTAGGGGCACTAAATTGTATTTTTTTCAAAAAATATTATATTTATATCTAGTTTTTTAGTTTTCAGATGATAACACATGTCATTATAACTAAATAATTTTAAAACTGAGAAATATAGTAATTTATTTTTTAATCCATAGAAAACATTGATGATAATTATTTTCCAAATTTTACAACATAATCAAGTTTATAATTTTAATACCCTACCTAATTTCAAAATTTGGTTCATATTTATTATTACCAAAACACAAAAACTTAAAAAATATGGTATTTTTTTAATATTTTTATTTAGTTTATTATGTATGTTAAACATATATTATAGTAGGTAGAATATTTTATTAACTTATACTTTTAATTACAACTTAATATATTTTAGTAAACCAGTTTGAACATCTCAGCAATAAAAATTATCCTTTATACCTTGTTATATTTAGCCATATACCTTCTAGGTTTTTTTTTAATTTTGTCATTTAACATCAACTTAATTATCATGCAATTTTTTTTTTTATTACATTTTATGTTTGAAGTTTGACAACTTAATTAAATTTATAATTAAAAATGTAAGTGTTAAAATTGTTAATTTATTTAGGTATGTTTAAGGTAATATACAGGTAGGTTTAATTATTTTTTTTATTTATTATTACAACTTTACAAATCATATTAAAACATAATTATACAATCAAATACAAAATAACAATTATTAGTAGGTACTCGGAATAAAATTGTTTTCACTAAAGCTTCACATTAATGTTTTATAAAACTATATTGATAAACTATTGTAATGCAGCCCCAAATTGAGCTAGCAAGATACCAAGAAAATCTCGTGGGTCAGTTATGAGGTTTGGTCGTAATTTTATTTTTTTTTATGATAATGATAAATTACTACTAACATTAGAAGACAATTTTATTTTAAACAAATTATTAAACAGTAGTTTATATATTATTAGCTGTAACTTTAATCCTAAAACTTAGTAGGTCAATCTTATCTTCCCTATCCAGCATTATTCGTGATTTATTGATTTGTCTTTCAGATAGTTATATAATAATTATATAAACATATTCCAAAAGATGTCTGGTTAGATACATGAATTAAAAGTTAGATTTCTAATACATATTTTGTTCTATGAAATTGAATTTAAAAAAAAAAGCACAATAAATAGTTGGCAGTTTTTCTTCATGCATACTAAAATAAAGAATTTTGATAAATAATATTAACTTTAAGAATAATTTACATTAAATAGAAAATAAGAAAATACTTAACATTGATCAGGACATACAACTCTATAAATATATTGTGCAATATAATCATTTATACTAATTTAGTTAACAATTATCACTAAGATTTTAATTAATAAGTAAAAATAAATGGTTTGTTTTGTTGTTCTTCAGAAAATATTCATAGACTTAGAAATGTACAGATTAAAGAATAGGTAGGTATAGAATTTTTATTATTAAGAAAATTTAATGATTCATTTTATAATATGTATAAATAATTGGTATTATAAATATCATGACCTAAATATACATATTTTTGTTGCTAAGATCCCACCACACATAATAATCTAAGCACTATATACAACAAACAAATTAAATATTTTATATTTTATGAATATTTTATCTGTAATACAATTTTGATGACTTGATTGTTTATTTAAAAGTAGAATAAATAATTCAGGACAGCCTAAAATCCTAAAAATATTTATTGTGATTTCATTAAAAAATGTTTTGTATTCCAATGTCATTAAATGCAATTTAAAAAATAATAATAATAATCTTAAATTATCTGAAGTACCTCATAAATTAGTAATGGAGGTTAAACATATATTATTTTGAGACAAAGTTTAAGACCATACTAAAAAAATATATATATTTCAAAGTCGCTATTCTACAATATTACAAAAAAATTGACTTGGATAAATATATTTTTTTTAAATCTGGTATTAGCATTCTACATAAATTTTTAGTAAAATTACTAAGAATAATGTTATTTTTATATTATCATAACTAATCATGAATGATTAAATAACTACATTTAGTTATGTGAGGTATCTGTGATACAAAATTAAAACTTTTAACTTTGAAAGTTTATTTTGCTTAAAATTGTATTTAAGATCTATGATTAACTTTTAAAAATATTAGTTATTTATAAAATATAATAATATAACATAATGTAATACTACATGTAAATTTAAATTTTTAAAAATTAAATATAATTAATTTTTTATTTCAACTGAGTCTGCCAGTCTTCAATAAATTACACAATAATAACAATTATTAACAATACATTCTTCTAAAAAAAACTTAAGTTACTACTAAAATCTAAATTGACTAAAAATTGTATAAGTTTTATACAAGCACTACTTCTATTTTGTAAACTATTTGGAAGGTAGATTTATGAATTAATCAACATTTAATATTCTATAACCATATATTAACTTAAATATTGAAAATTTAAGCTGTTTTGGCGCCCATGCACCTAGTGGTAAGTTGATTATTAATTTTAAATATCAATCTTAAGAAAAAATCATAGATATTTTTAAAAAATGTATAAATTTTAACAGTAACATTAAATAATTTTATCACTTTTATGTTAAGACCATTAAGACCACGACACATTAATAAATTAAAATCAAATAAAAAAACAAATTTTATTAAAACTTCAACACACTACAGGTGTAACTCTGAAAGCAACTAACAATTTTAAAAGAAAAAAATATATTCTAACTATACTTGTCCATAGTTAAAGACCCAGGACCCATGTAAATTTCACACTAAGTTTTAATGGTACTACTTCATAATAATTGTACAGAATTGATTGGTATTAGTAGAACTTTTAAATATATTTTATGAGTAGATTTAGAATTTAAAATAAATAAAAGATTAAAAATGTTCAATAACTTGTAGTTATTTCATAAAATTTTTAAAGTTACAAAATATTAAGTAAAAAATAATAGTTTAAGGAATTGTTCAAATATTGGATATAATTTTTACATACCAATTAATGTTTATGTAAATAGTATTTGTTTAAGTATCTGACTTAAAATTTAAATAATATTTTAGAAAATGAATTAAATTACAAACTTTAAAGTGTTTCTTAAAAAAAACCAATTTTGTTAAGGTATATACATATAAGTATGTTTGACATATGACAAATATGAGTGAAATATCTTCTTAACTCTTTAAAAAATAATATTGCTAACTCACCATTTGATGATTTTAAGTCTCTGTGAATCAATGATATTGGTGCACCATTATGCAAATAGTTCATGCCCCTGGCAATTTGAATGGCCCAATCAACAAGTACATCTGGTCGTATTTTTCTTCCCATCAGTACACGATTAAGCGAACCCCCCCGGGCATATTCCATAATGAGGCACAGATTTGGAATTTGTAAACAAACACCCAACATGGACACAATGTTCTCATTGTCTAGTAGCCAAAAGAGGTTGGCCTCTTGTTTGACATTCTTCACTGTCTCGCTAATGTCTTCATCAGGATCCTGGCGTGCAGCCTTGACGGCCACCTCCCTGTTGTTCCAATATCCACGATAAACCTTGCCAAAACCACCGACTCCGATGACCTCTTCGAGCTCAAGCTCGTCAAAATCGATTTCGGTAATATGAGCATTGCCCACAACTGTCGTCACGTTCTCCAAAATATTGTTCTCGGTAACAAAGTTGGCGGGGAATATGCCCACCTTATCACCAAGCTTTCCCGTCCACCAACCTTCATCGCCAGATATCTTGGCGTCTGTTGACAGCACCTCAACAATGTCGCCTCGCTTGAGGCTAAGCTCATCTTCGCCCTGCGCATCATAGTTGTATATGGCCGTCCACAATGGCAGGTTGGCGGCAGCCGCCTGGTGCTGAGTGGCATACTTGTTTTTATAGTATGCTGACGAGGTAGTAGTATTAGCGTATGCGGCGTTCGAGCTGTGGAACTTTGTGGTCCGAGACGGCGAGTAGGGATTGCGCAAGTTGGGACTTCCGAAACCTGGGCCTAGGTGTTCCATGGACGCCGACGCCGGAGGCATTCGTTACGGCTGCTACCTGATTTTTACAGCGTCACTGCAATGGTCCTGTTGAACGGACACTAACATCATTCTCAGACGCAACCGATCGCGCGAATTCGTATTGTTGTTGCCCAGGTACAATGTTTTTATTGTTATTATTATTATTGCTGTTAAATGTTATATTATTATTCTGACTGCATCACATATTAAAATGTTGGTGGTTCACGGTGTTATTATTATTATTATTATTATTATGATCGGCTTATCAATGTTGTTGTGACTGTACAATCTTATGTGCGCGCCTTGTCACACAGTCACTCCGTCATTAAAGTTACTATTAGTTTCGCTAATCGCTATTTACTAAATAATAATGTAATGTTGTTATGATGTTGGGTGTCCAACGGCTGCAAAACGTCTCGTGGCGAAATTATACAATTCAGTATCCGCTAACGTCACCAGTGTTCAATATTCTGTATTCACCATCACTAGAACTATAGATAATAAAATTAAAAACAAGTATCTTCATTATCTATCACGAGAACGCGTCAAATTACAATTTAACGGAACCAAACTAATCATAATAAAACGTATATAAATTAAATAAAAATAAAAAATACCAATAAAAAGATGAAAAAAAAAATAAAAATATAACACCTAGCACCTAGGTACTTAAAGTTTTGTATTTAACGTGAATGTTCGATCGCCATTTTGAATTTTAAAATACTGTTATCTTCATTATCATTTAGTATGATACGGAAATGTATAATCACAAAATAATTTATATTTTATTATTTATCAATAATAAAAAAATATAACATCCAATATCTAATAGACATCTATATTTTATAGCATAATTCAAAGTGAATTTACCTACAATTTACAATTAGCCGTCGACATTTTTATTAGATATTTTCATTTTGTGAAACAAATCTGATTATCATAACATTCATAACTATGTAATAATGATTATTTAATAGATAGGTACTTTAATAGTTAGATATGTAATTTTACTAATTTTAGATTACCTAATGTTCTGAAAACTGCAGAGACATGAATGGAGACACAATTTGACAATTTTATCACATTATTATCGTACTTAATTGTATCTCATGCTTTAATCTAAAATACACTACAAAAATTGTAATCATTTATAGAGAATTAAATATTAATATCGTTTTCTTTCGTTAACGATATAGATAAAATCCATATTTTAAATATCTACAATACATTGTGCCCTCGTTTTTAGTTTAAGTTTTATAATGTTTGATAGTTACCTATCACATAATCATTAGTGATCTAGTATTTAATGTAATTCATTTTAAATGCTACTACAATTCATTGCGAGTTTGAAGTTATGTGTTGTGTATTTTTTAAATTATTTATTTTGTTTTTCGTCGTGATTTAATGAAATTATAATAATTTTCAACTGGTTATTGTCATTTTTGTAATCATTTAAAATCTCCACAAGAGCATTGAAAATATCAAACTGTGAGGGCTGGTAAACTGTAAACTTAATAACAAGGTGGGTATGCTCTTGAACTCTGGCTTCAACTAGTATAGTGAAAAACACTGGTAGGTATAAAGTGTCTTTTGAATTAATTAGTTTGTAAATTGGCAATTTTAAAAGTAGCTATATAATTTATCAAATAAATGTATTAATTAGTAGAATCTTAAAAGTCTTTTAATAATGTTTAAAGTTCTTAATTTTTCTATTATTTACACTTATTTTATTTTGACAGTACTTTTAAAATTATGTTTATAATTATTAAAAAAGAAAACCACGAGAAAAATAAATTATTTTAATGAAAAAAAGTATTTTAAGAGAAATTATGTATTATAATCTTATTAATTAGGTAATACTTACCTGCATTTTTAAGTTCAATATCAGTATTATGTTTACAGCCTTTGCTCTCTCTCTAGCACTTTGTCAATAAATCAAACTAAAAATTAATATATTTCAAAAGACAACAAAGTTTGGTACTCAAAACTAGTAATAATTATTTACCAACAATGGACGACACTAAAGTGATTGCGTCACTTGATACTTTCTATTCTGCATGCATGGATTTGCGGAAACACAATTACGACAGGTGCATCGAGAACTGTACAATAATTTTATCGAAAAACCCTTACGACCAGGTAAATTATAATTACTTTAATTTCTATTTAATGGCGATATTGGTATGGTATGCCTGACATTTATTCTGGGTTTATTGATCAATTTATTCTATTAAATATTATAATAATTAAGTAGATATTCTTACATAAATTTAAGATTTTATTTAGTAGACTTACTAAACTTGAAATTATAATTTTTTTTGTTTTATTTATTGAGTAATTTTTACGTTTCTAATAATTATTCATATGGTTATTATCAACATTTTAAACATTAATTTGTATGATTTAATTTTGAAATATTTTTTGGATTTTGTAGTTTTTAGTCGCAGTTGTGTCATTATAGAAATGGCACTACTCATTTGAATACATTCAATAAAATAGTATAATGTGATATAACAATAAGCTCTCATTTTATATATTTGAGTCCATTTTTTACTTAATGCTTGGATTCAACAAAAACTATAATTCTTAACAATTTTCCAAATCCATATGGATACATTATAATTGTAAAGACACTTACATAAATTAATTTCTTAAATTTTATTTAATTTGTATATTATTTTGGTATTTTCTAAGGCAACGTGGGCTCTAAAAATGCGTGCATTAACTGAACAACTGTCAATTGATGATATTGAAGCAGAAGAAGAAGGCATTGCTGATTCTTACTTTAACTCAGATGCAATAGCTGAAAATGCTAGAGTAGGTACATCTTTAAGGACAGCACAAGATACTAGTAACCAAAGGTAAAGCAGAGTGAACCAGTTTTATTTTCCAGTGTAAAGTTAATTCATAGTTAACTTATAATAAAAATTTTAATTAAAACTGAATAATTTTCTATTGTTTATTTGTAGGCCTCGTACAGTTGGCGGAAGACCCTTAAGTGGCATAGTTCGTCCATCTACTTCATCTGCTGGTGGCAATAATTTACAATTGGCTTTGAAAACACCACGCACTGTCGGTTCCTCAAGACCATTAACGTCTCAATCAGCTAGAAATATACGCCTTGGTACTGCATCAATGGTCTCCCAAATTGATGGTCCTTTTATTAATATATCCCGATTAAATTTTCCTAAATACGCATCTGATAAACAACTTTCAAAGTTGTTGTTCAACTACATCTATTATCAACAAAATGATATTAGAAATGTAAGAGTATATGAATGATTGTTTAATGTCTTAGTTATTAATTTTAAAATGTATTTATACATACTTTAAATACTTAATTTAGGCATTAGACTTTGCTGCTGAAGCAACTAAATATTGCAACTTTGAGGACCCTTGGTGGAAAGTGCAGTTGGGAAAATGTTACGTAATGTTAGGATTATTACGAGATGGGGAAGCACAGTTTAGATCTGCTTTACAACATGGTCCTAATATTGAAGTATTCTTACGCCTTTCACGATTATTCATTCGCCTTGACCAGCCTTTAAGTTCATTAGATATATGCCAGAAAGCCATGTCTTGGTTTCCGCATGAAGTTACATTACTTATAGAAATTGCTAGGTATAACCAAAAAATTTAATTTTTTTTATTATTTTCCTGGCACATGTGATTTCATCAATTTCCACGTAAGTAGTGATAGCACTTGTATTATAGATTATAATTTTTTTCACGTTGTTAATACACAATTATCAAACACAAATTCAATACTGCTGACTAAATATAAAAAAAAAAATTGTAGAAATAAAATTAGTATACTTTTTTATATTTAATTCAGCTTCCTAAATAATGTGCAATTTACTGCTTTACACATATTCCACTAATATAATTAAAATATTGTATTTTATTTCAGAATATTTGAAGGTCTAAATAATATACCAATGTCAGTTAAATACTATAGAGATATACTTGAATTGGATGCTACAGATATGGAATCAATTGCATGTATTGGATTGCATCATTTTTATTCTGATCAGCCTGAGGTAGCCCTAAGATATTATAGGTAGGATAACTAAGTGGTTAATTAAATTTATATATATATATATATTTCCTTTTGTATTTGAATTAAAACCTAAATAATATTGTTATTTCATGCAGAAGACTGCTACAGATGGGCTTATACAATGCTGAACTCTTTAATAACCTAGGGCTATGCTCATTTTATGCCCAACAATTTGATGTAGTTACTGCCTGTTTTGAAAACGCATTAAGATTAGCATTGGATGATAATGCAGCAGACATCTGGTACAATATCAGCCATGTGGCAATTGTATGTAACTATTATAATACATATCTATTAATGAGAATAGTTTTAATATTGTGTTATCTGCAGGGTTTTGGAGATTTGGATATAGCTGAGCATAGTTTGCATTTAACATTGTCTTTAAATAGCTCCCATGGTGCCGCTCTAAACAACTTGGCTGTATTACAGTGGCGTAAAAATAATGTGTCCCAGGCTGAATCCTTGTTGAACTCCGCAATAGCAGCTGAAGATCACCTTTATGAACCACATTATAACAGAGCTTTATTAGCTCAAGAGGTAAAGACTCAATGCTTAAGCTACATAAATAAATTGTGTTAAGTTAAACTTAAAAATCTTAAATAAGGTTTTGAATAAAAATTTAAACAGTTTACATTTTTTTTAGATTAAACTTTAGTAGAACAATAATAAGAAACAAAATTTTTGAATTTTATAACACATTACTCATAACTTATTAGTATAAATTATACTGTATAATATTACTTTAACTTAATTATTTTTAACTGATATTTAAAAATATTAATTAATCTTAAAATATAAATGAAATATATCTAAAATAAATTGGATTGTTGAACTTTCCTTGGATAAAAACTCTTTTACACAAAATAAAACATCAAATAATATGAATATAATATATCATTGGTAGTATATTAAAGAAATATTTAAATTAAATAAGATATTATGTAAATATTAAATAATTCATAACAATACATTATATTACTAAATAGTAAATTAATAATATTTTCTTTTTCCAGGAAGGTGATCACCAAACAAGTTATGCTATGGTAAAGAAGTCGCTTTCAATATATCCTAATCATTACAACTCTAGAGATATTTTAAACGAATTAAAAAAATATTTTTCTAGTCTTTAAAAATGATTAGTTTAGTCTATAATTTATTAATTGTATAGTTGTATCTCTTGGTCATATCTTTAACATGTAATTAAGGATGATATTATAATTAAATATTATCTATCAGGTAACATTTTTTCTTTTTTACTTATAAACAAACTGGTTGAAATAAATATATATGTTTTTTTTTCTTTTGCTTTGTAACATTTTTGTTAAAATCGTCTAATATAGAATGAATTATTAATTGGTCATTTTGGATTAAGATATGTTACAATCCGATATTAATTCCTTTTTTTGCTGCTATGGGCAAAAATTCTCCTTGTAAATATGGATTAAAAGCCTGTAAAAATAAAAGTTCTATTATATTATGTTAACTATTAAATTATATTGCTGTAGACTGTAGTGTCTATATATAATTAACATTATTAGAAAACAAAAGGGGAAAAACTAACCTTTTTAACATGAAATTTCTTTGCTACCAAACTTTTATGTTCATCATCTACCTATAAATATTAAATGTAATGTTAATACATCTCAAATACAATAAAATATTGAGTAAATATTCAAAATACCTGAAATGTTCTTACAAGTTCATCCACGTCAACATTGTGTTTATTGCCAGTATTTGATCTTGTGCAGTCAAACATGTGTTCAGAATCACACATGCATTCTTGAGATTCCTGATAGTCTCGACTGAACGCTGCCGTATTTTCAAAATCTGTTATACAACCATCCTCATCTAAAAATTTAAGAGTACCGGTTCTTTTATACATTTTTTCTTAGCTATAATTGTTTGACATTTAATCATTTTTATCATATTTTATGATTAATTTGAGTGTGTACTGATATATTAATTTTTGTTTCAAGATCCTTTTAATAGACTTCCTTATATAACATCCTACTGAGAGGATGGTAGCCTTCCTATGGTGTTATAATGATTCTTGGAAATGTTATGCTTATTATATTTAGAGCAATAGAGCATTATACTGTTGTGACAATTCTGTATTATACTGCAACTGGCTACAGAGTACAGACATATAGCATTCAAAGAAAATCAATTGTATGCTGTTACTGCTGTTAGTTATAATATTAGAGTGAATATTATAAAAGTTAAGGATGAGAACATTTTCTGTATTTAACCCTTTAATTATTCAATACCTATTTCAAATTTAGGGAGATATGAATATTGCAAGTATCAGTGGCGCCGAACACGTACTTGAGGTGGTGCATTTGCACCACCTACGTATAATATTGGTGGGTGGGTACTGGCCACTGGGTGTCTGGGTCCATATGTATTATATAAATAGATCATGGATGTGTCGATTTATGTATAAAACAATATTTTATTAAAGTTTTATTGAAAATATTGACTTTGAACTTAATTGGAATTAATATTTTGTGGGCGTCTAGGTAGGAGTGGGTGGTGGATGGGTGGTTAAAATTTGTGTTTGCACCACCTACTAAAAAGTAGTTCGGCGCCACTGACAAGTATTAAAAGTTAAAATTGCTCATATGTAGCACAAAAATTAAAATTAAAGCCAAGGCTTAATCACAAATTTTTTTACCATTAACTTTTATAACAGATCAATTCACTCTAATACTCAAGTTAACAATATAAAATTCAAAATTGGACATTGACTATACTGAACTGAAGGTAAATTGGCTATACCTAATGTAGTTATTAGTTTATAAGACAAAGAGAACACGAGAATGCGGGTGTAGACCATTAACTATATTTTATTATTTTTAACTATTTAATTAAATTGCTACCTAATACCTGAATTTGTCGTAACTTAAATTATTTGTTTGTATATAAAAGTTAAGCCCGCCTACATTTTTTGAAAATAAGTTACTATTAATGATCTAAAATTAATATAAAACCTCTTGCAAGCCACTCTTGAAATTGCATATAAAACACACACCATCAAACCTACTCTATTCATCTTAAAAGTACAATATTATAATTTTGGTTTAGAAATTATTCTCAAGAATATTTTCTTTGAATTTACTCTAAAAAATTGTGTTATAATTATAGTATATATTCATTAAACGAAGTTAGGTATAGGTAAGTACTAACTACTATAATTCAGTTTAAGTTTTTAACTTAATTATTTACTATTTAAATTGAAGTTGTTTTCGTAACTAATCTTAAACTGAGGTTATTACTTTATTAAAATATAATATTATGAAGAGATTTATTTACCTGTGTATCCCACCGGACATGGGTTGGGTGGATTGCAGTAGGCCGGCAGTGTGGCGTCGGTTTTCACTTCATTTTTGTTTCTTGTCGGGCTATCTGGGTTCAAGGTTTGTACTCCCTCGCCAGCACCGCCTGCAGCAAGCAAAGATTTTCATATAATGTTTTTAGAAACAAAGGTGGTCATTATAATTAATTAGTTAAAAATTTGTAAGTCATTAATTATTAGTTTATTAGTTATTACCAACCAAATTTTAAGTTTATTAGACTACTAGAAATGCGTAGGTACCAAACTCTATTTAATACGGAGATTTGATAATGTATTTATATATTACTACAAGTAATTTATTTTTCTATTATTAATACGGCATGTTGAATTAATTTTTGGCAAAAACACTGCCCCTATATATTATTTTGCTAATTATTATAATATAATAGCTCCATATATGGCCTATATGTTGTAGTTGTACCCAAAAGACAAAAGTGTAAATAGATTCGTGGTACAAATAGCTAAAAAGTAATCTACATATTTAAAAAATAATAATAATGAATTATGTATAAAAAAATAGGTAAAACATTGAACATTGAAATAACCGTAAATGTTTCAAGTTTCTACAGTTAATATATTTTTTTAATAAAAATAGCAAAAATCGTTGGAGAAAAATATTTATTAATTATTTTATAGGTACATTAATGTTCATAGTTTCAAAATTTGGACTTCAGTGTGAGTCGCTTATAAAAAATGTATTAGCTATTTAATAAAAATATTATTTTATTTAATTCCAATAAAAATTTAAGAAGAATTTTGTATTCATAAATCATAAGTCTTAGATGTTAAAGTTAAACATTTTATGAGTTTTTAACTAAAATATTATTTTTGTCATCTTAACGAATTTTGTAAATTATCAAACTTTAAACTTTATCTGTAAAATTAAAATTGTAACTTAACGAAGTTTTATTTTTAGTTTTTTTAGAAATAACTTATAACTTTGTATTTAAATATTGAAGTAGCAATAAAGAGGAAAAATATTTATCTTGGAAATGATAATATAAATTTTTAATGCAATTTTAAAAACTATGTTTAACTATATTATTTATTAAAACGAATAATATTAATTTCACTACCTCATAAAAACAAAATCGATTTGGACAAAAACTCAAGTTTTATTTAAATATTACCGTTTTCCCTTAATTTTACATTAATTTTTAATATTCAATGTATCAACTTAGTTTATTCAATCAGACACCATTCCAGAGCTAAAGATTATACGAAAAAATATACACACATTGCAAAATACTAAAACCGATATCTATAGGTACGTACCTACTACGTAATATTAATCGCTTGTGTCAAAATTAAAAATATAAATTTTAATGTATATCTAATACCTTGTTACTACAAAGATTTGGCATCACAAAATATTACCAAAATAGTTATAAAGATAATAAAAATAATAATTTATATAATGGATAACGATAACGCTATTCCATGAGGTTTATATCTAATTTTTTTTTTTATACCTAGGTATCTATAACCGTGTAAGCTTTATTTAGTGTCTAATTTTCCCTTCTAAGATCCTATATATTTTTGTATCGCTTCCGACTTAAGTCCTAAGCCATAGCAAGTAGAAAGAAAACGAGCGTTACACATACCGCTCACGTATTGCGCTCCCCACAGCGTGCCGTGCTGCACGTACTCGTTGTCCCGGATCGACGGCACTGCGTTCCTGCCGTCCGCGCCCGCGTCGTCGTAGTCGGCCCCGATAGGTTCACGTTCGGTGGTCTTCATCCGCGGCCCGTACCTCGCCGCCGCATCGTACTTGCCACCGTCCATCTCCGACTTGACGATGTCTTTTTCCAGTTGGTTGATGACGTTCTCCAACAGTTTGCTCCGAACGTACTCAGAGTCCTGCGGAATTATCGCGAAGACAAGACGCTTTTAATAACAATACGACGTATAACATAGGTATTATACTTTCACAGGAGGTCGTCGTCGCGTCACGTTTAAGAAGGGATAAAAATCAAGTACCCAGGAGTTGAAGTGTGTAACGGAGCGTGTACTCCAATACAGAGAATAGCCACTTAGGTACTCGTAACAACAGTCGTAACTCGTAACGATATTTATGTAAAGTAAAACATGTACGTGCGAATGAAAATATTAATTTACGAGTATACCTACGCAATGAATGGTTAGCACAATGAATATGCAGGCCTGTCGTTAGGGGGGGGGGGGGTAGGATTCCTCCCGGGCCCGAACGTTTTAAAGGGCCCGAAAAAAGATAACTAATAATATGTAATATATAAATACATATAAAAGATGTAAAATTATTTAAAAGGCAATTTAATTAAAAAACTAATATTGTTTACAAATTTGTGTTTTTAATTTGTTACTTGAAATAGAAAAAGTATAAATATTTGAAATTTATTTGGTCTTGTGAGAGGTTGCGGGAAGGAGGGTGACCGTGGCTCCTGAAACCACCACTAATAGGGGCCCTTAAGCATTTTCCTCCCGGACCTGAACTTTTCTCTCTACGGCCCTGTGAATATGGGTATTGTTTTATTATCTGTTTACTCACATATCCCCTGTTTACTAGTTACATTATATCTTATAATATATATTTATCATTTTTATCTGATTCACTTCAAACATTTAATACATATAATAGACATAAAATGATATATTTATTATTAAAAAATAACAATTTTTAGGTATGTATTTATATTAATAAAATTGCAACCAGTTATTCAAAGATATACATTTCTCCAATTATATATATATTTTTTTTATTAAATGTTTATTAGAAAATTATTTAGATAAATCCTGTTGTGTATATCTATATAATGCATTGAAGTTTAAGTCAATAATTCAAAATTCTTAACCTTTCTTTATTGCTGATAATAACCTTTTACATATCGAAGAATCGATCAAAATTATCTATGATAATAAAAACAATTCCCGATATATCTACTAAGTAAAAGTAGGTGTGAAAAACACATTAATAGCTTACGTACTATTGTTTGTATTATTGTTTCAATTTTATAAAATAATTTGAATAAACCACGTTTATTATAGATAATTAATGGAGATTTTAAATTTTAATATATAAATAATAATATATATGTTTGAAGGGCTAAGCCTTTCCAACTTCCAAGAAATCCCTTCTTCGAATCTCTCAAGTGAATTAATTTATTGAAGGCAATAAATCCTATTGTCATCTCAACAAGAGCTATTGGCATTTAGCTTTAATTTTGAACAAAATATTAACCAGACTTAATTTAAAATAAATTATTATTTCAATTAAAAATGTATGATAGATTTTTAAGATTTATCACAATTATTCACAATTTTTCAGAAGACAGTGTCTTCAAGACACGCATATGAAATAGTTACTTTTTCGCCATAGATAAGTACCAGTGCCAGGTACTAGCAATCTATCTGTTTTCGAGTGTTTTAGTCCGAAATAAATCAAATACTTTAAATAAACAAAGTAAATAAACTAATCTGTTGAAATTATCTCATAAGAAAAAAATATAATACCTAATCATAATATGCCTATACACTGGTTAAAGATAACCGCATTTCAATCAACAATTATAATAAACATAGTGAAAACTTACATAGTTAATAAAAGTTGTTGCAATGTTTAGGTTAAATTGTTTATGTCCAATTCTAATTATTTTTTATAAAAAAAAAATCCGCAGTTAAAAAATCCATTAAAAATTGTAATTACTCAAGTATAATATAAGTCATGAAGATATATTATGGTTGGCTACTCTTACACCACAAAATGTCCGTAATATATTTCATTGTCGAAAAAACAGACTTTATTTTGACAAAAGGTCGACAAGTAAATAATGGATTTTTTTTATGCTTGTTTTTTTACAAAATTAAACCGTAAATTCAACACTATTATGCAAGGAAAACATAAAATCTTTTTATACATTACATTTTAAGGTTTATTTTCAATTAATTTTGAAAAATAAAATATTATTAGCCCTTTTTGCATTATACAACATTATATGTAGTGCACATAAACATCATAAACACACTACACGACTGACGCACACACTTACTCACCTTTAATTTTAAAACACCTAAAGTCTTAAGTAATTAAAATATAGCATAATATGTGATCCACGCTATGTATGTATAATAATTAAATCTCTTAAATATTTACTACTTTTTTAATCCCATATAATAAATTAAGTATAAGTTCTAATTTTCTTAACTTTCAGATTAAGTACGTTGAAATATTGAGATGTATTAACGAGATTATATGAACACTCGACAATTATAGCTTCCCTACTTCTATGACAATAAAAAAAGGTATAATTTTGTATTTTCTATAATGTGAAGCTTTAGTATGATAAATTTATGAATTATAACATATTATATAACTGATGGCAGCTAATAATATTTTCTCATCTGATATGCGTGATGGTTATCATAATATAACCTTTAATGTTAGATCTGTAGAGCTAACCGTTAAATAAGTAAATATTAACAAGATTTTTCAATAGGACAATTCTGGCTCTAGTTATTATAGGTACTTGGCCGTGGCAGCTACGCTTATATTTTGTTTTATTTAGTTCCGTACCACTACTATCATGATGGATATATAGTAACCATAGAATATAGATATTAGATACATGCATGTTCATTTGTAAGAAGGTATGCATACGATTTACTTTTTTAACTGTTTTATATTATTATTTCAATTCTGCAGATTGTTATTGTATTTATATTAAATTTCATGAATCAAATCGAGATTACAATTTTTTTTTCTTTTCTAGGAGCAAGATTCTATCCAGAGATAGAATTTTCATATGAACTTTTGACGAAAAAATAAATTTATGATGTTACGTTTAAATTAGATAGGTTTATAATACGATACTGAATCTTGTGCTCTGATAAAATATTATGTTGTTCGAGCAATGACGATGTGTTAGTGGGTGTCAAACGTCCACGTTCAGTACGTCATTAGTCAATAATGACCGGGGTACCGGAAGGCAGAAAACGGCATTAACGAAAATTTGTCCCACGAAATACCCTGCAGTTTACAGTGTTAATTATTAACTGTGTAAAGGTACCTACATGCTTAATTTTTTTTATGTAATGTTTATTACTTCACGCACGTGATTCACAGGTATTCCACGTGTAATCTCGGTTGTGTAACTTATACATATAAGCGTTTTACATATAAGGTTTTCGCAGTGGTATTTTTTTTTTAGATTTCGATCCTTCGTAATACGATTGTTGCATATGGATATAGTTTACAGATGCGCAGGATAAACAGACGATATAATAAATGTTAAATAGATACAGTATTTTTATCAGGGTTGGATTTAAATTTTAAGGGTCAAAGGTAAAAAGTTGTAAATTTATTCTGTTGGCTGATTTAATGGAATAATAAGTTTGCAAAAATTAATACATATTGAAAGCTGTTGAATGATTGTATAAAAAAATTTTACAAATATAAGCACGAAAATCAATACTAATTAGTCGTATAAAATGTAGCGCGTATCTTAAATGTCTCACGACAATTGATTATTCAGTCTTGATCAGTAAACTGTTTTATATTTCTTATAACAAACACTTTTATTTTAGAATACCAATATTTTTTTTTTTTTTTATATATATACGTATTGAGGCCTCAAATTAAACACTTTATATTTTGGAACACAAAAAATGCCTATGAAAAATATGTGTGGATATATGGTGCCTTAATGCTCTCCGTCAAATTTAACCCTGCGGGTTTTCAGTAATCATTTACAATTTTATTATTATTGTGACTAAACTATGAGTAATAGAATGCGGAGTCTAAAATTATGAAAAAAAAATGTTTCATAATGTTTTATAGGTATACCTACAAAGTTTTTTACACCCCTTTACTGTAATTTACATTGATTTCGAAATATTTATGTATATTATATACATTATACGAACAAAAGTGTAATACATATGTTGAATGTGCACCTATATAATATTTATACATATGTAATTTAACGAATATTTAGTTTCACCTCCTCGTCAATCGAATGCATCACTGTGATTATTACAGTTATAGATATAACTATACCATCACTAATGATCTTACGATTTTCTTAACTATAATAACACATTGAGTACATATTGTACACATCATAATATATTATTAGTATATGGGTACTCACTTTTATATTTTCCGAGTACTTTCCAAACGCGATGACATACGCGGGCACCAAAGCAATGCACAGTATGATAACGTTTGTCGCCATAATGATGGAGCTTTTCGTATGCCTGGAAAACGGATGGAAACGAAGATGAAAACAGACAGATGGTAGTTAGGTAAGTACACGCGTCACTGCGAGCGGGCGTACTGCAGTGTATGACGACAACGATGTAATATAAATGTATGCGAATATAAATATGTATATATTATATGTGTATGTGTGTGTGTTATATATTTATATCGACGGCGTGACGACGATTCGCGAGTAAGGCGCGCCACGGTGGTGATTTTGGATGTGAGTGGTTTTTCCCACGATTTTCTCACGATAGAGTCGATCGTCCTACCCGCGACGACAATACCCAACCTTCCACCCGTTACTACGTATGCGCGCGATTAAATATTGAAACATTCGCGCGTCGTGTTACCCTCCGAATACATTATGCGATATTGTATCGATGTTATACTAATGACTACTATTATTATTATACAGATCGTGGGCGCCTGCAGCTGATATAATTAATGTTTCTACACAAACCGACCGAGAAAATAATGCACTCGCGATGCACTACAGTAGATATTCTGCACAATAACACGATATTAAAAAAATATATAATATGTTATGCCCGGTGTCGACTGTGTAAAATGTAGCGCGTGTGTCGATGCAGTACGACTGTGCAATCGATATCGAATGTTAAACAAAACAAAAAAATAAAAAAATGCGTCGTAAGACATTGCCGTGCTATAAAATCGTTGTTATTATTTATAATATATTTATGTAGATACTGTCTAACGCGGAAACTATCCTCTCGGTCATACGGACCTGTGCAGCTGTCGATGCACCGTTTTTTCCTCGGTCGTTTTGAAAAACCGCGAATGACGGCCTTTTTAAGGCGTTACTGCGAATCGCGTCCGTAAATTATTTACCGCAAATATTATAGGTAGGTCTAAAATATTGATACTGTCGTGGATCGCGAAACGTCTCGCTCGTCCCGCGTTGCACGAATTATTTTATTAATTTTTTTTAACCGCGGCGCATTACGTGTGTAATATGTGTTATGTTGTCGTTGTCCGTATCGTGGTTTTGTTTTCGCCGTTATTTAAATTACCTTTTTCAACGATATGACCCGCATATATGTGAATCCACTCCGTGTTCCACAGGTAGACGACGGCGTCGGCGGGGGGGCAAGTCGTGTTTGCGGCGGATCAATAGGCGCGGCCGCCGACGATGTGTGTGCGTGGCGTTTGGCGTGTGCGAAGTACAACGCCGTATTATTATTATTATTAATGTTACGGACCCCGTCGGAAAATTCGGCGGCGACGGCGACCGAGCCAAGACCACGACGCCCCCCGACGAGAAACGCGCCTGGTGACCGACCGTGGCGGAAAACGCTATTTATTTTATTATAAATAATATTATTTTTTTTTTATTCCTCTCGCAGTAATATAATTTATGGCCGTCCTCCACAGTGACGTTCGTTTCGACGATGTTCGAAATCACAACAACGTTCTAAGTGTTTACGGGTATTTTAATGATAAGTATAATATTATGTTGTTCTACAGAAATGACCTCCTCCCATACAAATACCCATTTCTCCAGGTCTAAAGAGAGTATAATAAAAAAGATCTCGACCGAAGGGGAGGCAAATGCTGCTTTCACCGCCCACAACTCATCTGAAAACGTCGTTAGATCTGCAATGGTATATATAACTATATTATTGCAATGAGCGCCCAGACATACGAATTTATCAATACTGCTGCGTGATATAATATAATGTATCATTGTAAGAGAATACAATTTATTGTTGAAAAACAAACAAGTATTTTATATTTTATTTAAATTCAGATTTCTATTTATCTACGAGAAAACGTCGAGAAAAGAGTCACGTGATTAAACGATTGCGCTGCGATCAAATCAATCGTTACTTGAACCGCGGTGTTACGAATCATTACATATTATTTTATAATTTGCAATATTATGCTATTAATTCATACATGTGTTATTATGTGTATATAATATACTTCATAAACATTTTACTTAACAATATATAATATAATAGGAAAAACAATTTTAAATTAAAAATATTTAACCTAATATAAAATTGTGTTGTATGTATAATGTAGTAGAAGCACTAGAAGCTGTAAGAAATTGTAATATATTCTGATTTTTTAACCTATTTAATGTATAACTATTATTCAAAAGGAATACACATTCATATTATTTTAATGGACACACTTTTTATAACTTATTAGTAGCATTGTTAAGGCTTCCTTTCAATTGGCAATTAAGCAACTATTTAGTCAAATTTAAAGATTTTATATTGATTGTATAAATTAAGTATTTACTTGAAATTATTTTTTTTTACCACCTGTCCACCCTACCTATATGCAAAAAATAAAAACTATATTCAATTTTCCATAGAAATTACTCCAATAGCAAAGATTTAAATATTTTTATTACTCCGAAAGTTGATACCATTCACAAAAATAATTACATTCACTAAACGTATAAATTCCAAAAATCAGTTTTAAATATTTATGTATAGGTAGATATCAGCTCAATCAAATGATATAATGAGAATGAACTTTTTTGGTGAATTACCCTATATGTAACCATGATATTATAATGTTATTAAGATTTATTTTTTGATAATGGCGATTGTAAAGATAGTATATAGTCATAAAAACCAAATTTCGAAGAAAAAGCTGAAAAGATTACTTAAATGTTTTTAATGCAGGAACGCCCACAATAGTGTTGATATATGAAATCGAGATAGAAAGTAGTAACTATTGAGTTTATTCACTATATATTATAGCCATTTTGGATAAAAAATACACCGTAGCCCGTTTGCACGTAATATGATGCGGTATCATATATGTGATAATGATACATATCATATCTATAACTATATATTATATATTTGGTAATTTAAATTTATCGCAGGTAATAAAACTAATAAGGATGATAATATTAAAAGTTAAAACTATATATGCAATTTTAGCAATACCTATTCTGATTTATAAATCTTTAAATCTTTTTATCAAAAGATAAACTCATATACACACAAAACACTCATGTTATAAAAATGTACTAAAATTATTATAATAACACATCATACTAAATATTTATGATAATTTTCAACTCATAAGTGGTTTAAATATTATACATTTATACCATATAAATATTATAGTTTTTTACCGTATTTGTCCACGTACAACACAGAAAGACTCGAGAGACAAAAACAATTATAAATAGCCGATACCCTTCGAATCCCGGTTTTAACATAAATTATACAGGGATACTGTTTTAATAGAATTTATATTTTATGTTTTTAAATAACTCTGTTGGAATAAATTATTTTTCCCTGCAATTTATTTTACAAATAGGTTAGGTATCACACTGATGTGTCCTTATTCGTATACACGATTAAATTGTATGGAATACAACGTAGCAACAGAACAAGTAAAAATTCAATTATCCCCATGAAAAAAAAAAATTCCAAAACACTCCAGAGTCTCGTAGCTTATAGGGTATATCGACATATCGTATATGATACTTATTAGGTATATAATACAATATAATTCACTCTGTGTATACTATATACTATATAGTATATAGTGTATATTAACTTAACCTTTAGTTAATGCATTGCGTTTATATATATATATTGTTATTGTATATAGACATATAGTAAATAATATATAGGAACCCTTTTCTGACAACAATTTATTTCATATTTATCATCTAATATATATTATAGATCGGTGATGACTATGGCCTGGATTTATATGCTTTAAAAACTTCAGAAATATTCACTATAAAATATGCATTTATGCTCTTATTTTATAGAAATATACCCTATTAAATAAAAATATGCAAAAAAATCATTTATTTTCTCTGTTATACATAAGATGTCAATTGGGTCATTATTAAAGATGTATTATTATATTTGAATTCAATGATAAATCGTTAATCGTTATTCGTTTTATATGAAAAACAATTTTGAGCGGAAATGGATTGTCAGCCCCCTCATATATTATTAAGTGTATTTCATTATACATTTTTTGATGCTGCTTTAGTAATTAATTTTACTTTTGGTATTACAGTAGGTTGAATTTTTTCCGAAAATATTGCATTTATTATATTATTAGTATTCAGTTGTTATAATAACATGTATTTATATCATATTTTATCAACTTATATAACTCAAAATATAATAAAATCTTTCTATAAATATTGTAAAATAATAAAAATAGGTCCATAGTATAAATAAATAATATCTTAAAATAAATTAAAAATATCATATGCATAGGTATAGTAAAATTCATAATAATGTAATATACGTAAAAGTTTAAGTTTCTACGAATAATGTTTTTAAGTTACTTATAACAAAATAATTAGAACCGTTACATACCATTGAAATAAGTAATTTTGTCCGAATTTTAACTGAAAATGTCTATAAAAAATAATTGCTCAAAATTAATTTTTAGATTGCACTTTTGATTGAACTACTTATGAGAAATCTTGCATTAAGAATTCAAAACTTAGAAAAAGGAAAAAGGTTTAACAGCCATATAAATATTTACCTAAATAATTGTATGTTCATGGACTCATGGTGTCAAAAATCTCTTATCGAGGGGGTTATGTATTTAGTGTTATATAGTACTTGTGCTATAATATACGTACATAATACATTGTAATTTGTCATATTCATTCATATTTATATTTTTTATTGGTGAATGGAGTTAATAGTAAACTGTGCTTATTCTAGAGACTAAGGGTGAAAATTGTGTTGCGATGAAAATAATTGGATTTCAAAAGTTGGTGTTCTTAAATTAGAAATACTCGATAACGTAGCTGAAAAAATATATTTTGTATGATCATAATATATGATGTATCATAAATATTGTTCGCAATACTAAAATAAAATACAATACAAAACGTTAAAAAAATGAATTGTGTTGGCATTTTTCAATGTTAATATGGGTGCACTTAATATAATTTGCAGGTGTGCTATTGAGGTATCATGTACACGCAATATGCTACAGTAATAAACTCGCCAAAATAAATTTCAAAAAATACAACCATATATAGGTACATATCTAATTTATTTTTTATGTATATGCGGGCATAACTCGGTTAATCGTATTTGCGCAAATCAGCTGTAAATTTGGTTAAAAATCATAATATCTAGTATAAAAATATTATTTTTTTTTCTATTGTTTAATACAGGCCGTAATTTGAAAGGTTGCAATGTAAGATTTATTAATTTTATTTTTATCTTATCGAAATATTATTATATAAACCCGTAAAACAGAATACTGCAAACATATATTTTATAACAAATACGGAAAACTTTCCCAGTCCTCTGTATGATAGATGGTGTACAAGTAAATTATAATTTATTGCCGCAATATACAAGCGTATAGACGTATAGTAATCGTATAGATATATTGTAATATAGGTGCCCACACATGTAACAACGTGTGCGTCAAATATACATATAGAATATATATTATATATATCTACTCTAAATTTGAAATTAATTCGACAAGGTATGGCCACAGAATTAATGCAATTTCATTTATTCTGTGCTCTAAGTATTGTAGCGTCGGTAGTAGTGTAGTACCTAGTTGTATTTTATGTACTTGCTGTACGACAACACTCGTTAGAGCCAATAAAATTATTTAGAAATATCATAAAATAAATTAATAATTACAGTATAATATATTATACATTTTAACAATAAATTAATGGCTAAAATTATATCTTTTAACTAGGTATTGTGAACACGATAATACATATTTTATGATTTATGTATGTAAACTGCAGTTAGATAAGCATTATCATTTTTAAACATACTTCATAGACATTTCTTACATTTCTTAATTATTGAATGTTAAGAATGCACTTGAAATGTATTTATTATTAAATTTCACTAACATAAATCTTAAAAACAAAAAATTATCGTTACACAAGATTTGATAGGCGTTTATTAAACCTAGACGATCTAGTTTAAGTCGAATTCATTCTAATCATACAACTTGGGTCATGGTAATGTATAATAATGTATGCTTCATTTATACTTAAAGACCCACCATCAGCCCACAAACTCAAAATACGCGGAATTATGTAAATACGATTTGCAGAATACAAGTTTCGATATCATTGGTGATTGAAAATTTTACTGCATAGCCTACCTAAAATTTGGAATTTCCTTAATACTTCAATACGTGATTAAAACAATGGATAATTGAAGTTGGTTAATGGTTTGTAA